TACAACTTTAGTACACGGAGCAATCTGTGGAGCTGGAAGCTGAGAACTGGCGACTTTCTAGTACAACTTTAGTACGCGGAGTATCTGGGGAGCTGGAAGATGAGAACTGGCGACTTTGTAGTACAACTTTAGTACGCGGAGCAATCTGTGGAGCTGGAAGCTGAGAACTGGCGACTTTGTAGTACAACTTTAGTACGCGGAGTATCTGCGGAGCTGGAAGATGAGAACTGGCGACTTTCTAGTACAACTTTAGTACGCGGAGTATCTGTGGAGCTGGAAGCTGAGAACTGGCGACTTTGTAATACAACTTTAGTACACGGAGCAATCTGTGGAGCTGGAAGCTGAGAACTGGCGACTTTGTAGTACAACTTTAGTACGCGGAGTATCTGGGGAGCTGGAAGATGAGAACTGGCGACTTTGTAGTACAAGTTTCTGTGGAGCTGGAAGCTGAGAACTGGCGACTTTGTAGTGCAACTTTAGTGCGCGGAGTATCTGGGGAGCTGGAAGATGAGAACTGGCGACTTTGTAGTACAACTTTAGTACGCGGAGTATCTGGGCAGCTGGAAGATGAGAACTGGCGACTTTGTAGTACAACGGAGTATCTGGGGAGCTGGAAGATGAGAACTGGCGACTTTGTAGTACAACTTTAGTACGCGGAGCAATCTGTGGAGCTGGAAGCTGAGAACTGGCGACTTTGCAGTACAACTTTAGTACGCGGATGAGTCATCTCTCGCGGCTGAGTCATCTCTCGCAGCTGCTCTGACGCCCCTGCAGCTGAGTCATGTCTCCCAACCACCCGGCTCTCTTGAGAGGTTGACACACACACAGACACCCACGCACTGCCTCAACTTACTCGGAGACACACACAGACAGAGACTCATACACACACAGACATAGATACACACACAGAGACCCACACACTGCCTCAACTCACTCGACTTAACACTTCACACTGAACACTTACCAGATAACTCACACTCTGACTTCCTACGTGATGAAAAATGCTTTCGGGCCACTCGTCGTCTAGTTTTTTTAAAAAATTTGGCGGCGAGCGCACGAATGGGCACGAGCACGAGTGGTGAAGCACGACGTTCAGGTCTTGGAAGAGCTGGAGAGGAAGAAGACCCTGAAAAGCAAAAGGAGGTTTTTGCTACTTGGCAAGCTGGATCAAAACACTTGGCAAACACCTACCAGCCAGGTCAACCTTCCAAACTGGTTTGGAGCTCTAGGTTTTGAAGTTTTTGCCACTTGGCAAACTGGGTTCCCACCCCCTCCCTCTCCACAAACTGGGGCAGGTAGGACTGACCAGACTCTCCTCCTCGCAGGCCTGCTGAAGCGAAGCTTGTCCGAAGTGAACTAAGCAACTAATCCCATATGTTTCGCACATTAAAACCATATATATATACATATATATATATATGAGGTCAACTAATCCCATCAAATGAAATCAACTAATCCCATATATCAGTGTTTTTTTGGTTTTAATGTTTGTATATCGTGTTGTACTCATTTGTTGATCAGCGTGAAAGGCATTGAGAAACACTTCCGAACAGGCCCATGGGATGACCTGCAATAAGCAGCAATGGGAACTCAACCGCCCAGGTAACTGCATGGGAACATGTTGTTTAAAGCAATAGATGTGAGTTCATGTTTGATGGTGAAAAGTTGTGTTGTACACTTCTGATGGGGGATAGACATGTTGGAATTTGCCAAGATAGCACATACTATATTTAGCTTTGCAAATGTTCAAGTTTCTTTGAGCGTCGAAACCCAAGGCTTCTCCAAAAGAGGATTTTCAGATATTTACAGCGTTGCTTTCTTTTTTCTCAGCTAGGAGGAGCGAATGTTACAGTCACCTCTCTCACCCCGTCCACTGGGTGAGTTTCACCACGAAAGAGCAGGTCATTGGCCCCTTTGGTGCGGCACTGGACGGAAGATAAGAGTTTGGCACTAGACTTGAAGATACAAATTCAACAAACACAAAACTATAACTATAGTACATTTAGCTTCCAAATATCACCAATACTGGTTACGCACGAAGACCTACCAGAAAAGGATAGAAAAGGATTAGAAACATGGCCCACCCTGTAAACCCTGTAAACAACAAACATCCGCTGAGGGCACTAACAGAGTTCCGTCTCCCACAAATAAATCAATGAAAAAAGGCAGGGGATTCGTCCGAGACTCAACCAGAGGTGGTTTTGGTCATTGAGAAGGTCGGTCGCAGAAACAAACAGAGACTATCATTTGAGTGATTTGATGATCAGCCCACAGGGTACGGTTTTAGTTACGACCCTCCGGTACGACCCTCTTACAACTGCTAATGTTGGGGTGAGACTTCCGGAAAATGCAAAATTCCAAACAAAGTCTTTAGAACTTCTGGTCGACACACATCCTAATATACAGTCGTACTTATTATGTCATCCTATACTCACAGATTGGTCGCCTTTCGCGCGATTTTTGGCAAGGCAGGCGTTGGTTCGAGAGATGTCTGTCACCGAGCCTCACCTACACAAGAGAGGTGGATCTTTTGGAAGGGGTCACAAATCAGAACTAGAAGAGAAACAAAGCCTGGCAAAGCAGGCGAAGAGGCGAAGCACACCAGAGTGGCATTGCTTTGAACTAGCTGGTGGTTTTGCTATACTTGTAGCTATACATTGTTAGAGTTTTGTGTAGCAACCGAAGGAGAAATAAACCAATTGTGCTGCCCTCAGCACTTTGAACATCCTGCTTACAAATGATGTCAATCAGTGTCAATCCCATTCCGTTTTCACTCGGGATCCAAATCGCTTCCGATTTCTCATCAGTTTTGTGCCGGACTTGTTCCAGATCTCGGCCGGTCTCTCTGACTCCTTTGCGCGTTGATCCATTGGCAAAAGGGTTTGACCGATGTGCTTGTTCTTGGACTTGGACTGATGATGCAATGGAACAACAGTAATGTCACCTATATAACTAGATCGTTCCCAACAAATTCAAATGGAAGAGTTGTTCTTGCCGCATGACTTGACCACATCCTTCCCGAACAAAGAATGTGCGTCGTCCTGTTGCGCATGAACGTTGGGAAGGTAGGTGGAACTTGATTCTTCATGTGCGGCGGTCCACTCGACTTGAAGAACCGAAGAACAAAGCAAGTCTGTCCGCAGCAAGTCTGCAGCCCAGGAATGGCTACAAACCTTACTTGCAGCATTTTGGCCTGCGTTGGAAATCGATTGGACGTAGGGATCTGCGTTGGAATCCATTTGTTTTCGGTCTGTCATGATAGGACTCAGATGCGTAGGACAGTTTCTACAACCTGGAGTGGGGGGCAGTGGAAGGGAGGCATACTTGGACCATGCAACGGTATGGTAGTGGATCGTGTATGGTCATGTCAAGACATGTCAAGATTTTGGAATTCATGTTTCTGACCTCCTAACTCCCAATGAATTCAGCCCACGAGCTAACCACTGGTGCCCCAGAGCTTGCAGAACTGCGCCCACAGCTCTCGCCCCCGACACCGAGGACATCAACAACCAATCGGTCGATGCAGACCGACTCATCAACCGCTCCGGCATTTTCCAGTGGGTTCAGGAGCGGTGTCCGTTCCGGCTCGTCCGCGGTGGACGATCATCCCTTCGGATCCGGAGAAACGGAGGATGTGGACGAGCGAACGGCAAGCCATCGATGACCTGGGCGAGCGAGCATTGGTCCAATGATTGGTTTGATTTTGGGGACCAATGAGGTATTGCACATTTGGTCTGATTGAGAATTACATATGTTTTTATATACTATCCCTAAGGATCCAAGTGCCCTCTGAGAAGGTGTTTGGGGTGGGTTTGGAGGGTCCAAGTCCCTTTTGAGGAGGTACTTGGATCCCTAGGGTATAGTAGTTGTTGTTTTGTCGGTTCTTTGTCTCATCTTCACTGGGGCAGCCTTCCCCCCCCCACGCGCCCAGACCTTGAGGCGAACCTCAGCGTGGAAGCCGCCCATCGGATTTTCTACGATGAGGACCGTGCAGAGGAGTTCAAGGGACAAGCGGCTCGTCGTATTTTGTTCTTTTTTGGGGCTCGTGGGGCTCAGGAGGCCCTGGCACCCACCCCAACAACCTTCTGAGGATGTGGTTGCCCCAGAGTTGTTTCTTTTTGGGAGCCTTCTCACAAGGTCAAAGGGAGGTTGGGAGAGAGGATCGGTTGAGTTATGGGCCCAGCTTGCTAAGGTAGGGGTATGTTCACCAGGCCCCAACGAAGGGAGTATGGGACCTTTATGAAAGCTGCATGACTGCGAGACTTGGTGAAGGTCTGATCACCGATATTCCAGATGTGAGGAGGGGTCAATGATGGTCAATGCAAAGTCCACCCAAGGATTTTTGGTCTATTTCCCTTCTACCTGGTCTTCGGGAGGTTGTCCTATTTCAATGCACACCCAGATGAATCATGCGACCTGCCGCTACCTAACAACCCCCCCCATGATCACGCGATGAATATTTGGGTCCTGGCGCGCTCAAACGATTGGACTGAGCGGGACAGGATGGGGCCCCACCTGGGACATGATCTGTCCAGTTGTTCAGCTGGTCAGCTTTGCACATTTGATTCTAAGGATCAAGAAACCTCATGAGGCGAAGTCTTTAGAGGCTCCAAGCTCTTTTAGGGTCAAATCGAACCATAGGACCACCTCACACTCAGGGTAGGATATATTTTTCGTCCAAAACAGGAGTCCAAAGGTGTTAAAATCGGATGTTCAACACCTCGTTGTCGTGTGAACCCCGCAGAATCGGGTCGGTCCAACGACACCGTCGCCCAGGATCCGGAGAAGCCCGAGCCGGCGAACCAGTATCAGCCCTTCCTCAGTGGTGGGGGCCTCCCATCTCTGCAGACAGACTATAGCTCTACTTAAGTCTAAGCAACTATCTTATAATATCTTATATATAGGCCCATACAGATCTGTAAGTACCAAACATGAAGGACCGGTGTTTCAACACTCATCTCGCATTTCTCTTTCGACTCACCTGACACTTCTCTTTCCGCAGCCATCGGCTCGAGCAGCCAAGTGCGCCGGGCCCAGCGCGATGCCCCATCCGCCCAAGGCGATGGGATCGCGGGGTGTGAGCCCTGGCAGAAAGGAGGAGCTGCAGTCTTCGGGCTCTGCTGTCGTGACGGGTGAGTGGGGAAGCTCTTCGGGTTGGTGATCAGACTTAAAACATGCTATAAGCTGTGATTTGGAACTGCTTCATAAAAGCCTTCCCCTTTCATGACCGAATGAACACCCCCGTGGTCAACGCGACGCAGGAGGAGAGTCCGGCGAAGAAGTCCGTGCGGATTGCGCTCAACAGCGAAAGCTCGGTACTGGGCCGACGCAGCGAAGATGAGCCAATTGGAATGTTGGCGTCGCGTACCACCTCAGGTGCTGAAAGAGCCAGGGTGCTGTGTTTGAGGGTTTGATGGTTCATAACCCGTGCCGAAGAATGGGTTGATCTTGGTTTTGTGGTCTCAAGATGTCTAAAGTCCTTCTGTTGATTGGAACTTAAGATTTTTCGAACTTCACAAGGTTCTGGGAATCCCATGGTCCAAAAACACCAAAACACAGCACAGCGCTCCACAGATCAACATCCGGACACATGTGAGACATGTGAGACATCAGCTAATGGTCCTCTTCGAGCCTTGGACCTAATGGACTACCCTCTCTTCCCGTTTGGGCTCCTGGCCCACCGTTTCGAAGGTGGTTGGAGGAGGTGTTCCGGGGGGGGGTCGAACTACCTTCTGAGGATGTGGGACAGGAGCCCTACACATATAATTGCAATATACTTCAGGAGGATTAGATTATTTTTAGGGGCTTCCGCAACAGCGGGCCAGGGGGCCCAGTGGCAGGCAGAGGCAAACAGGTGAGAGTGGTGGTTTGTTGTTGTGCTTGTTGGTGGTGTTGTGGTGGTGGTCGTAGTTATTGTGGTTGGCGTTGTGGTTGTGGCTGTTGTGGATGTTGCTGTCTTTGTTTTTGGTGGTGGTGGTGGTGGTGGTGGTGGTTGCCTTGACCAGAAACAGAAACATCAATTGCCAATAATGTACGGCAACATGGGCTGCATAACTGGCATCTTGAAAGAAGGGGGTACTTGTCCTGCGGGCAGCGGTGGATCCTTCGGGCTTACCCAGGGTCGCTGGCGGTTTGATGTTTCAAGAGGATTATGTAAATTATTTCTTTTGAAAGCTGTTCAATTGCATACTTCAAGCTTACCTACATTCACCCTGAAACCACTCCAATGTATGTAAATATTGCATTTCTGGCGTGTTGGGAGAGTTGACCATCCGCCCTAGGATTCTCGCCAAAAAGGCAAACACTGCGCAGATCTCGCGCAGGTGGGATGGAGATGGAGCACATCGTCCCAATGGTGGACGCCCTGAAGACGACGCCTCGCCCGGAGCTACGTCGGGGTGCCGAAGCCTCACAGCTGCTGCAGTGCTTTGGCCGGGCGCTCTGGAGCCTTGGTTTGGGTCTCCTTTGAATTTGTCTATGTATTTAGTGTATATTTATTTGTTTACTTCCAAGGCGTCACTTAGTTATATAGTGGATTGAGAGGAGATGGCACAATTGGCGCAATCCCCAAAAGGTAGTCCATCTACTCTGAAACCAAACGGCTTCTGAATCGCCGAATCTCTCGCCGCAACGGGGGCCCTGCGGGGCGCCAAAAGCACTGCTCAGGAGTCGCCCTCATTTCGAGTATAGCTTCCAGGTCCAGCACTTCTGCGTATTGTTTGACAGGTAGACGCACAAGAACGAACCCCCCTCGAAGTGAAGAAGGATGAGGTTTGGAATCCTCCGTAATTATGGAACCATGTAGACCAATGTAGACTAGAATTTTCAACTTTAGATATAATATAGGTGTTTCCAGATGTAGACTTGTTTTTTACAAAGCCCACATCCTCATTTTGCTGAAGTGGGGCCCTTCTGTGAGTGTACCAGTACCTTGCTATTCCATCAGCTCCGGTTTGCTCTTGCAAATGCACAAGGGATTCCGAAGGATGATGTTTCATGATGTTCCATGTTCTTGAACCCGGGACCCCAAAGACCACACAGAATCAAAATCGAGGCGTGGCGTAGAAGAGTCATGTCAACTAATTGTTTGGTGCTTTCAGATACCTTTTCAACCTTTACTTGGGATGATGGAACCCACTGACTGATGTTTTTATAGTGAGTTAAAACCATCAACCAGGGGATTTGTCCGGTCTCGCTGACCCTGAAGAAGACTATAGGCAAGTGCGAACTGAGATGTCCAGCCGTCAATGGTGTGTTTGTTTTATTTCTCTAGGTCAGGCCCACGACTGTGACTGGTCAGAATGGTGTCAGGAGCCGTATATGCTGGGAAGATGTCGATTTGTGATTTGGCTCGGTTCCCACGAAGCCACTCACGAAGCCTTCCTTTGAATGGAGACGAAATCATCCAGGCGGTCGAAGATGCCCCGAGAATTTGTATCCTTTAGTTCTACCAAAAAGCGCCAAGCAGAAAGAATTTCACCCTGGGATGCCAAAAACATCCAAAAACCGCCAGGACCGATTTCCTGGATCTGTTCCCTCGATTTGACCCCTCGACGTGTCCAGATTCGATCGCGGTGGGCAGGTGACCGAGATCGACGACTATTGGTCCCACAGCTGGGGCGACCTGGCGTTGTTTCGACATCGGAGCTTGTGGTACAGGTGGTCGGCTCGTTCTTCAAAGCAGATCCAGATAGATTCAGGAGTTCCCAATAGTGACCTAGTTGGACCACGGTGCATAGTACGTGTTTCGCAACATTTCCGTGTGCTACTTACAGTAACCGTTTTCTTCATGGTCACTGGGGAGAGCATCAGTGCTCTTTAAGTGCTTTCTATGCATGTTCAAAGTGGTTTTATGCATTTTGGATGCAGGCATCACATTCATTGTTACACACTTTCTCGGCGGAGTGGGTTAGTTGAGGGATGCAATTTGCATTATCACCAGTGTGAAGATTAATGACTGCTTTTTGCACACTTGTACACTCGATTCTGGAAACTGGAACGCTTGTGGATGAAACGACACTTTGCGAAAACTCGATTCCGGAAAGACTAACACTACAATGTCACGCAGGTGAAACAACAGTTCCTGTAAACTCGATACTGGACACTCGAACACAACAATGTCGGGCAGATGAAGCGACAGTTCATGCAAACTCGATACGCCCAAACACAACAATTTTGTGCAGATGAAACAACAGCTCGTGTAAACTCGATTCTGGTCACAACAACTCTGTTTGCAGTTTCATGGCTCGCTGTTTTCTTGTTACTGTTTTTTTTTCTTTTGTTTTGCTTTAGCTCTTCTTGTTCACTTATATATAATTGTCCTCCGTCTTGTTTGGGGGGTCCATACACGTCTAGTTCTTCAAGACTAAGACAGATCATGGGGCTGCTACAAAGAAGCGACTGTACTTCTCATAGCCCAGTCAGGTTGGGGCCTCAATGACACAACTTCCACAAAAACTTCCAGAAGCATCGGAAACCAAGTAGGGCTATTATATGAAGGCTTACAACATCTCCAAGATCTAAAATTAGCGATCCCCCACGGCAAGCAGTTCAGCGATGTTCATAAATATGCTTGAGGTGTGTAGCAGAAGCAGTAGAAGTTAGAAAGCCAAGAGCAGCAGTCGCTTCTTTGAAGATTCCAGCAGCCAGGTTTGTGAGACGGCACCGAACGCCCGCATAGGAATGCGGCAAGGGTACCACAAACATCCACAAAGGCGACCAGCGAAGCAAGCAAACCGTCACACACCTGAGATCACCTGAGCAACCAGATACGTAATACTCATCAATCCACGCAACAAGCTGGTGAGCAAAACGCAATGATCAGCAAAACCCCTATTTTTATCTATTTATATATCAAACATATCCACTTGGATCCACCGACCTTGCTCCATCCAACGACCTCGCTGGCACCAAAACCCTGGAAGACACCTGAATTCGGACCACGAATGCCCACACCGACCTCCCCGGCGGCAAACTCTCCGGAGCGAGGAGAGCGAGCTTGGAAGAAGGTCCTGGTGCTCCTGTGGCTCCACAACGGCCTCTCGCGCTTTCCAAACAAAGTGGGCGGGAGAAAGTGGTCGAAACGCGGAAATAAGAGAACAAAAAACATGCTGCATGTAGAAACGAATTCACTTGACGACGGTTGATGACGAATTCACCCCCGCTACCCTGGATGGTGAACCATCTCCAAGCTTTGAGTGATCAGTGAACATTCGTGCTTACCCCAGATGCGGTTGACGGAAAGAAGAACGCGGTTGACCGCGGAGACGCACGGTACCCCGGTCATTCGAAGACGGGCGTTCCCGGGAGTCGACCATTCTTAAGAGACCTTGAGGAAAGGTCTGGTGGCCTATTTGATGTGGTTGCGGTTGTTTAAGTACATGTTTTATTTTTTTCATGTGTAATGTTGGATCTTGATTAGTAAAAGGGGTTCCCCCCCCCTCCCTCAAACAAATGGGAGACCCTCTATAATAAACTACCACTAAAACACATCTGGGTTCCTAGGAGGATTTCTTTTTGTAGTTGATTGTAGTATTTATTTTCCTTTCTCTCTTTGTAGTAGCAGTAGTAGTAGTAGTAGTAGTAGGAGTAGTAGTAGTTGTTGTTGTAGTAGTAGCAGTAGTAGTTGTTGTAGTAGTAGTAGTAATGGTAGTTGTATTAGTAGTAGCAGTAGTTGTAGCAGTAGAGCTCAGCTGCTTTTGGTGGTGGTGTCCAGTGGAAAAAAGACTTTTCACAGTTGAGAACCCCTAAAACAAATCTATTGTTGATGATCGGGTGCCTTCCTGGTCTACTACCTTGAAAATTTGTGTAGGAGCAATGTTCACATCAAGGATTGCATTAGGAAGTGGTGGGTTTGGAAAGCTGTCAGTTTTGA